CATTCTTATCAATAAGACCGCTGAATCGCTCTTCTCATTGATCGCTGATGGAGAATATCGTATCACTTCACTGGGTCGCAATACATGGAAGTCGCTGCTCGGTTCGGAAGCCTCGTTGCAACCATATTGCAATAGAGAAGGGTTTAATGCGCACACACCATCTTCTGATCATCCCAAGGTTAGAATTGGCATCCTTGGCAACGAACAAAATGACTGCGACAGTTGTGATTCCAGACTGGGTTTCGGTGGGGGAGGAAGACATGATGACTCCAATACCTGTGGAAACGCAGCTGGGTGGGGAGGAGACAATGGGGATAAAAACATCAAAGCCATGGGATACATTTTTGTTCAGTAACAAGGAACATGCATGATCTTCGCTACTAACAGGAAACTCATTCCCTAAGACCAATCATTATTTTTCACCAAGGGGGGGGGGGGGGGAGAGTGGGGAGAATGTTTGGGGATACAGTGGAGGATCAGTTGTCACCAACAGAGTATAAAGGGGGGACTATTTGGGAAACTGACTGCCAATTACTGCCAATGAGGCAGGGGAGGGAGGAGGGAGAGGATCATTACAATATCACAGAACCTCATGGAGGGATCAGGAAACTTTTATCGTGACAGGCAAAATCCTCTAACCCCCTCCCCCCCCGGTGAAAAATAATGACCAGTCCCTGAGAGCAATTTAATTTAATATCTGATGCTATAGATCGTTTTCACTCACGTGACCAAATGCTTAGCAACGGTCGCTACGCCGCCATATTGGTGGACTAAAAATGTAAACAAATCGAATCGCATGCGAGCACGACTCTCCTAGACCGGCCTTACACCCACAACAGTGGACAGACAAAATCGTTCCCGACTTTTTGGTAATGATCCAGACCGAAATTAAGGCTTCATTCATTCTTTGCGAATGCCTTACGTTCGCTAAAACGTTAAATTTATTCAGTGTTGATGATGTGGCCCTGTACACTTGAAATGAACCCCGATACCATTTGGTTGTATGCTTGAAGGCTTCGAAAGGCTTTAAATTGCCGTTTAGTGTAAAAGCTAGTCTCCAGCACGAGGTAAAACAGCAGGTCCGTCGATTCTACCGGAGGTAAACAATCTGGCGCGAAGTTCTGGCCCTCCTTCAAGACTGGGTCAATGCCGATCGCTGATATTTTCTCAAGATAACGTTGTTTGAAGTTATTCTCTAACCTGTTTGCATAATCGGATAAAGGTGTTACAGGTGAGGTTATCCTGGAATATTTATTCTCGCTTAACTGCACATCATTCTCTCTAGGGCAGGCCGCCATTTTGAAATTTCGCGCGAAAAGCGGTCCACCATTATGGCGACCGGAGGTTTCGTGACGTTACGTGAAAACCATCTATATATATCATAACTTTACCAGTTATTCAACAAAATGTAAAAGAGCACACACCTATTATATCCCACTGCAGGAAAATAGTTTTCTGAGATTATAAATTGGCTTACTGTTGGTCACCTTTGCCGCCGTTGTTTGGTCTCGTGACGCGCGTTCTCCCCCTTACCAGCGTGACCAAACCAATCAACGGCTGGGGAGAAGACTAGCTTACTGTCAACTGTTATCTGTTTTGATCAACTCGTACCTTCTCTTATCGTGAATTCATATATCTTATTAACCAAGCGCGAGGGCCGTACTGGGAGAATATCGGCCCGAGGTCTTGACAGTACGGACCGAGCACAGCGAGGTCCGTACAAAAGAGACCGAGGGCCGATATTCTTCCAGTACGGTCCCGAGCAAGCTTGGTTAATAAGAGATTTATTATACGACTGAAGTTCAAAGGGACACAAGTGCGGTATCATGATTCGGGACCATTCGGGACAGTGCCCGGTCCAACACTGAGAGAATATCGACCGGCAATGGAGCATTTTGATTGGTTGATTTTAGTTATTGGCCCTCTGACTGCCCGAGTCGTGTAATAAGTTGTTGTTACACATTGTCTACAAATGTGGGTTTAAGTCTGGGTTTAAGTTTGTAGAACATTCTACTAGCCGCCATACAAGATATAGGGAACAAAAGCTAACTTTGCATACACTGGAAAGCTATTCTTCTTCAAGCTATAATAATGTTTATTTCAAAAACTATATTACAAGATTGCAGTGAAGGCGAGCTGAGTGTAATATTTACAATAGTATTAACAATAAAAAAACTAATAAAAAGGGATAACAATTATGAGATGTTCTAAGTTCTAAGTTATTTAAAATTATATTAGATAGACTAGCCATGAGTTTTTTGGCACGATAAGTATTCTTGGCAAGCTATGATCGTAGTGGGGCAGCAAACACAGAATATTAGAAATACACGAACTGGTCTCGGTATCTAGAAAACAATGTGCCAGTACTACGTTCAGACCGAGTTCGACGGTATGATGTACTTCTGACTACTTTCCTTAGTCTCTGAAGAATCACTACTGCAATACGAAATTAGAATGTTATTCTCACTATCACTTACATTGCTGTCGCTTTCTTCATTGACTGACATTGACTCGTCGTCAGGTTCTTTCCTAGGAATATATGCTGTGATTGATTCTCCTTGGTCATTAAAAACGTGTGCTAAAATGCGGCAGATCTTATCATCTTTTTTTCCTTTAAAGAAAGATCAAAGTGTCTTAAATACTTCTCCAGCTCTTGGACGTTTAATTGGACGTTTAATTCCGGTTCGACAGAGAATATCCCAATCATATTCATTGAAGGGTTTTTCCTTTCTTTGCTGACGTTTTTCCTTTCTGTCCTTTTCGCGTAGACTGCGTTTCCTCTCCAATGTAGGTAGATGGAGCAAATAATCTTCTTCCAACTCCTTTTCCACAATAAATCTGGTAGAAGAAGATGATATCCCTTCTTCGTCACTAATTTTTAGTTTCACTCTCTCAAATTCGACTTTAATGTTGTGCCTTGGCTGCCAGTCATCAGGTAGGCGAGAGTTTTCATCGTCTTCAGTATACGAATCAAACACATCTTTGTATTTAAAATATGGCAATTTGGTCGGGTCTGGAACTGGCCTAGGAATGCGACTCATTGCTGGACCAATCCATACCTTTTCCACACATTCTGGACACGGTTGTCCTTTGGTTGAAGCCTCAGAGGTGTTTCATTTCTAAGTAAATTTCTCCTTGTTGATAATGTGTGTTACGGAAATCAGTTATTTTCTTGATGTATGAGGCCCCTGGGACTTCTTTCTTCTGATCAGTGCTCTTGGAGTTACACTCTTTTAGAATATCTTGGTTGAAAAACAACATTTCATCAGGTTTATCCGACTCAAGGCACTTGATGTATTCCGATAGAACTGGTGCGTCATCAATTTTCGCAGCAACTTCATGTGCCACTTTCCATGCATTCCTTCTTCCAATTTGTCATGTTCTTGTATATATAGTTAAAATCTTCCTCGGAATATCTTTCTCGGTCATTCCTTTATGTTACCCATTTTTGTGTCAACTTTAGATTTTAAACTCTAGAACTGTATTGTTAAGATGTTTTTGCAATAAAATGAAATATTTGAAAGATATTTTTCACTTCTTTTAACCTAGCTGCTTTGATAGTCCAATGGGTGTTTAGAGATCATGTGACCGGCCGATCCCAGGGCCTTTTCCCGCTCTACCCCCGCCCCACCCCCAACTAAGGGAAAAAGCCCTGGGAACGAGGTTGGGGGCTAGCTATTTTTGCAATTACGGCTACTGAGAGGGGTTATGACATTTTTAATTCTTGTAGAGCAGGGTCAGGATATTTTGTTTAGTCTCATTGAAAATCTTGCCAGCCCACACCCTCCCATAAATAATGAATGCTCCCTTATAATGTTTGATTGACAGCTCGACTAGTGGCACCCTCAGACTTGTTTATAAACAGTAAAACAGGAATTTCCATATGGTCTGAACTAATCCCGCCGAGTGAAATATTGTGGTATGATAAAGAAGAATGACTTGGCATTTTAATCTCCGTTATAATCCATTTTGAATGTTTCTGCTCAAGAGCGATTGGTTTAACCGCCTCACGTGAAGGCATATGCCCCAAATATTTACCTCGGTTTCGTAGATACCGATATATTAATATTAGAGATAACGCCGTCGTCCATCTTGCCGGAAAGAATAGGGTATCCAGTCAACCAGATGGACTCTTACTGTTAGTTTACTTTGCCCTCCTACGAAGCGATGTTCTTCTCAGCGAGCTCGTCTTGCATAGTACTCCTGCAGGATTACTTTGGACGGCCTCTTTTTCTGGGTCCCTTGGGACTCCATAATATGGAATATTTTTATAAAACAGCAAAACAAAAACAAGAATGAAAAAAAAAAAAACGAAAAAGAAAAAGAAAACAAAAGTACACAGCAACATAGCAGCGCCAAAAAGGAAGAAGGAATTTTTCCCGTGAGATGGAGAGACTTACTGTCCACGTCTACTTAAACAAAACTGCAGAGAGAAACTTACGCAAACCGAGACGTGAAACCAATGAGTTCTTCATTTTATCTTATTTTAATTTTGTTTTTTACTTTTTATTTTTATTTTTTTTAATTTTAGTCAAACGAGTCAGTGAAATGTTTTTGAATATTCTTCAAAATCAACTTGAGGATAAAAGGATTAGCAGATTTTCTGAGAATGCTCAACTCAGATGGTCACTATTTCCGAGAGAAAATGAATGGGACGTTATTTTCTCCTGTTAGTTAATCATAGTTTTTCGGGATCGAGAGCCCTCATTTAACAACTGCTTGACAAAGCAAATATTAAGGTCAAGTAGAGAGAAATATCATTTGTTGCCCACAAGGAATCAATACTCGATTTCAGGTCAGAGTGGAGTGTATTTCCGTTCGATAAAAGTTGATATCGGTGGAAATATTCATTGAGTGTTTTTGGTCGATAGAAAAGTGTTATATCTGATATGGGTCACGGATTCAGTTTTGAAATGAAAAAAAAAAATGGAATGAAGTGAATCGGAAGAAAAAGAAAATGTGAATCAGGAAGACACACTGATTAGAATTTTCCAGAATTGACCAGCTAAGACACTGCGTTCATAGAATCACTGGTAATTCAGAAATAATTCAATGTTTTGAGTCATCTTTTGTGAACCTCAAACTAACATACATTATAACATAACCAAAGTAAAGCGCGCGCTCTGATTGGTCAACATTTTATCTAGACCTATTCATCTTCATGAAAAATCGTAATAATCAAAGGCTGGGACGATCCAGAGAAACGGGTGCATCTGAAGGAAACAACAAATAACTGAAAGGAAGATATCGCCTCTATTTGTCCGTACATGATCTATCGAAAACAGTTAACAAAACGCTGGGAAGAGGAAGAAGTAAATTAAAATCGCACTGCGCAAATCGATCAAACCGCCTACTGTTTGGCTTCGTTTGCTAATGGCGTTCGAGACGCTGTTTAAGCAGGACGACTTTTGTTAGGGCGTTTTCGACAAATTTTTACGCCCCTGACGCATGTAAATCCCGAATAAATGAGGCCTCTTGAGCGATCCTAAGCAGGAAGTCATTTTAAAAGATTTAGATCTGATTCATTCCCCAGTTTTTTTTTGTGCTTACGTTTGGTTTTCCGTACGCTAAATCACGAAGTTCACTCACTGTAAATTTATAACAGCTCGGACAAAAAAAAAAAAAAAAAAAAAAAAAAAAAAAAAAAACACCGATGTTGGAAAATGATTAAAAGTATAAAGTAACTAATTGGCTAATTTTACCAAATATATCGCAGGCTATTTAGATAGCAATTGAGGTTTACCAACCCTGAAATTAATAGCTTATCTTATCTGAACTTGCTTCCGGTGAATTTGGTTGTGAAATGAATGACATACCGGCGTCGTATTCCGTTTAATGCCTTTGTCATGATGCACGTAAGACTGTGCGTCAAAAAGTCACGAACAGTTACCACTAAGCTACGCCCTTTGCACTCAGTCCAGAATATGTATACGTAAGGCATGGTCCGATTTAGCCGGAACGCGTTTTAAGTGGATTAAAAGTATGAAAGGAATAATCGAAATTTGATGAAATTTGACATCCGCGCCATCTTTTATTACTATAGCCTCATTTCCAAGTCAATCTGTGGGAAGGATAGGAATTTGTAGTCACGTGATAATTTTTGCTCTGCGCTGGCCAAGCGAGAGGCCGCGAGAGATAAGTCGATGAAATTAGAGGTTTTACTCCGTAAACTGGTGCTTGTTCTACTGATTTCTAATCACTAAGGGCTTCACAGGGCTGTATTTCAGCTATTCTCTTTGCTTTTGGTTTGCATGAGAGGAAGTTTATGTCGCACTATGGAGCATCCGTTTCGTGGAATGTTGTTTTGAAGTAGCTTACTTCTTGCTTCGCTCACGGGAAGCCCGAAGGTTTTAACCTTTACTTCGATAGTTGCGTCGGATGTGTTTGCTGGATGGTTCTGTGTCGACGCCCATTGATCAGTAGAATATCAATTCACGAGTCTTCTATTTTCCAGATAATAATAATTGGAATTTACGTGCATAAAGTGCGGTGTTCGCCTTTGTTGAATTGGACATAACGCTCGGCGGCCCATATGTGAGTCTAATATTAGAGTTCTTCTGGGCAGGTCAATGCAGTTTTTACTCCTTCGTTGATCTGTGATTTGGTGAGGAGTTCAGCATCAGTTATGTTGTGATTTTCTTACCTCAGAAGCGCTACAAGTTATTTGTTATTTGGAATATAAACGATTAATTACGAATTATCAACTGGAGTAATTTATTTCGACGTGCTCAAGAATTGCGGCTTTCTTTTGCGTCCGGTACAAGTTCACTAGTTGCATTGCTGACTGTACCTTGTCTGTACTGGCTCTTCATCATGGGTTAAATTTAACCTTTGTTCACTGACATATGGCTTCTATTAGAGGCAACGTTGAGGTAAGTTATCTCTACGTTTCTGTTCTAAACAGCGGTTTATGGGTTTTGTTGATCCAATGCGACAATCGCTAGTCCTAAACATTGCAAATTTTTCCAGCAGGGTGTAGAATTCCTCAGTTAATTCTTTTCTTCTGGTGTCGGACGTTTAGTCTACACCCTTTTGGTTGGTTCCTTTATCTGTTTTTGTCTGTAACAGATTTTCATTTTCAATAGATGGCTATTAGCGTTCAGTTCGTTACTTGCAAACCGTGCGTAAACTTGTTTATGTTTGAGTTAATGTCATGTCATAGAATACCTCACTTTGTAAACTTTACAATAATGGAAAGTTTTCTCACGCGAAGCGAGTTTCGGCTCAGGTATTCGGAAATACATAGAATGTAGCTCAATGGTGGCTATTTTTGTTGATAAGTCGTTTCGATGTAATCCTATTTCGGCAAGGTGAAGTACCATTTTAAAAAACCAGTTGTATTCTTCGGAAGTGTGAAGCTTTGAATCTTTGTGAACCATATGTGTGGATTCAAATGTTTGCACAATAGTGTCTTGCTCTCCGGCGCGTTCATTTTTAGAAAGCAGATTGTTGTCATTTCAGGACACAATACCCACTAACCAAGTTATTTACGGCTATGTGGCGATTTATTGGAATTATCATTCACCATGCGTTGTGATTTCACGTCTGCGTTCGTGCGAAATATCTTCGTATATAATCATTCTTTGCTTAGAAAAATTTTTATCCGATCGCTGGTTCTGAAAAAATTCCATTGCGTCAATTTTGTAACTAAAACTTAAAGGATGACATTTATCACTTTTTAAAACATGGCGACCTTCGGTCCCTGTGACCGCGATCAGCGTCTGTCGTTTTTGTGATGTCAAAGCGTAATTTGAAATTAGTGTGATTAGCCTGCTAGAGTACTCATGCGGTAAAATATTAATTTCCTTTTCATTTAAGGGTCAATTGTTTTCAATTTTCCAGTGCAGAATGTTTCATTCAGAGAGCATGTTGTGGTAAATATTGCATTGTTAGCAGATGCAGTCGATCAGGGCTTTTTACACTGCGGCTACAGTGTGTGAATTGATTGTAGTTCTTTGTGGATTATATGTTAGCTTACGATCGCTTTATTAGATGCAATTACCTCTTTGTATTGTGCTAGCGTTATTCATTTGGGGTAAACAATTTTTTTCCAAACTGGAATGATCATGTTGAAGCAGATGTTCTGCTAAATTTTGCTGACTGAACAAGATCTCAATTGAAGGAACCTCTGAATGGAACCCTTTACTTTCCACGATTTCGTTTTATAATGTACCAACGCGGCAATGTACAAACCTAGTGTTTAGCTGGTTCTTTTATTCTTTTGAGCACACAATACTTAAAATCTCTTAATGAAATTAAAACATTACCTTACAGCAAAGCTTGCAACATTAAATCAGTCATTTGTTAACATAATCTGGAGAAAACCAGTTCGAATTTGCCGCAATCAACACAATCTGTAGCCGTGTTTCAAGTTAAGATTGACGAACATAGTTTTTTGTTGTCAATGAGCAAATTTACATTTGAAGAATTTCTTTGTTTGTGTTGAATACAAATTTCATGAATAAACTGAAAAAAACTTTCTGCTATTTCAGCTGTTATAGAACAAGATTAGTTTCAATAAATAACTAGACGTGCTTGTATCTCCAAATGAATGATGAGAATTTTACATATTAAAATTTCCTCTTAACTTTACCTAAAATATTTTCTATTTTTTATTAAATGGTTTGTACTGAGGTTCATTGCATGAATTTCTTTTGTACATTTGTTCGCACTGATTTCTAATATTCTTCTTATCAGTTGTGGAATTGCTATTTGATTAGACACCAAGGTCATGTAAAAAAAGCTTTTGCTGCATATCTGTTGGTGTAACCAGTGAAATTATTTTGCCATAAAATTGATTACAATGCTTCAGTTATTAATAAGGGAATGAAACTTTTGAAGGCAACTTTTGCCAGTAGGAGTGACAAATAATCTTTTAGGGTGCAAGACTAATTTGTAACATTAAAATGGTTTAATGCATTTAATAAGCTGGCTTTTTGAAGATAATTAATACACGATGCCACTCAAGCATAGGCCTGAATATTATGCACTTGAGGCATGGAGATTATTGATGAAAGTTTTAGTATAACTGTATAAATACCAGCTATTTTTTTTTTACTATTTATGACCCATCTATCAGTTATCATTTTGAAAGAATTAATAGATAACGTTTAGGGCTTGGGTGCGCTTGGTAAATTCATGTTCATTTTGTGAAAAAATCTGTAATCAGCTCAGTGAGACAAGTGCAAGTGGTGATTTTTTATCCTACCAAATTTTGTCAAGATATGCCAATCTTTAAAGGTGCTGAGGTTCTGCCTCAGAGCAGGACAAATTTTTATCAGGATAGAAATTTGACAGATGTTTCAGTTTACAAGCCACAATTAAAAGAATATGTCAATCAAGAAAATTTGATCTGGCTTTTTAAATGCAAGCCTTCTAGGCAGAAGGCCACTAAAAATGATACTTAATCTTGACATGGAAATCAAACAGTAGAGATGGAAGATTTGTACCTTGGGATGCTGAATGACGATTAGTACTTAGCATACTCAGAATACAACTGTTATGGCTTCCAAGTTACAGTTATGCTGAATCTCAAGGTCCAAGCACTGCTCAATTTGTATATAACCGTGTGATTGACATTTGGGAGTTAACAAATATTTTGCTGTTTTTGGTGGGCCCACAGTTGATAAATTGAAAATTTGGCAGAGACAAATTTTGTGAAGATTTTGGAGGAGCAAAACAAATTTTGTTAGGCCAGTGCACCCAGGCCTTTACAGGTTTTCCACAACCTAAAAAAGATAATAAAAATATTTATTATAATGACAACATTAATTATAAAAATATCTACAGTAACTATAACTTTTCAACCACCAACCTCACTCCCTTCCCACTAAGAAAAATACATTGGTCTTTCAGTAATTAACTAAATTTTAAAAGCTAATCAATCTTATACACTAGAGAAATTGCTGGCCTTTTTGACCTTTTTTATATACCTGTTCTAGCTTTCTAAAGCTACTAACAGTTTTTTTTTTTTTACACCGCTGCTCCCTGTTAGTTAGTTAAGCTATTTAGCTAATGCTTTTCATTTACTAATATGTACAGTGCATTTTTAAGTTCTTTTTTGTTTTTTGTTTATCACAAAGTAGGTAATTTTGCTAGTTTTTCAGACTGTCAATTTTTGTTCAAGATTCTAAGCTGTATGTTGAATCGCTTCAAAGTTCCTTCATTAATGTGGGAGATTAGTTTACCCAGTGAAAACATTTTACATGAGTTGGCCATTTAGAAGTCAAAGATGCAATTTTCACATCATTTACTATGCTTTCATGCGTAATTTTCAAACACACAGATGTCAATTAAGCAAATAATGGGTTTTCATTGCTTATTGATGTGTCTTTTGTTACATAGAACAACAGGCAACAATTTGTCTATGCCGGAATGTGATTTTGTGCCTGTTTCACATCTGTTCCATAATTCAATTTTGAGTTCATTGCCAAAAGTTTTAGTTGGTGACCTGGAGGTCATTTACATTTTGTGTTTATCACTAGAACTAAATTCTGTAAGTTGGTGTATATAAACTGATTTCTCCAGTTGATTATGGGTTATGGAAAAGCAATTACACCTAATTAAACAAGTTCTAGAGCTCTTTTCCATTTTAAACGTGTTACAGTTTTAAGTCCTTTGACTAAATATAGTCTACAGATGATTTTCTTTAGGTGAAACCTATTTTTAACTGGCAAGAGTCACATAAATCTTTCATGATCTTAGATAGTTTGTAAGTCATGCAGTGATGAATAACTTCTGCCTGCGGAATCTTAGAAAAACAAAATTCGCTTTGACATGTAATGTTCAAAAGGTGATTCGTGCGCTCGCATTTAGAAGTCGAGAAAAATTCGACAATTAATTTTTTTTCAAAATTTTTGGTATAGTCTGATAGCCAGTCCTATAAGCTTTAATTTGATATAGGGGTTTAGATATCTACAGTTTAAACCAGACGCGCAACATCGCTTGCAGGTGAGACACCCCTGAAGGTGCACGGTAACCTTAAGTTCTCGTTTTCTTTTGATCAGAGTGTACTTTAGAACATAATATTGTATGGGAAAATTGAAATGAAGAAAATTAGTTAATGAATAAATAGTTGTTTCGTATGGTGTGCATCATACTTCTTAAAACATTGAATGAATGTAACAAATACTGTGCTTACAGCTTCTGAACAGTGTTACAAGTCAAGAGTGTTTTTTTCCTCTAAGTAACATCTGCTGTTAAATTAAATTTTCTTCTTAGGAAAGTGAACTGGCTTGGCAACAAAAGAAAGACATTGGACATAACCCAGGATATCTCCCGCCCTCAAAGCTGATAAGTTTGCATCGTCAAAGCAATGGATTTGGATTCACATTGCGACACTTTGTTGTTTACCCTCCAGAACTGATTAGAAAAACAAGTGAGGTAAGTGTCCACTCATACTCAGGGTAGCATTACCCATTTTTAATAATTTGTGTCCAGGGAAGACGGTGTCACAGAAAAATTGACTTATTGCCTTTATTTTTTTTACTGAGCTTTGCAGTATCATGTGAACTGTGGAGTTGTACAGCCTTAGTTGTATCACTTATGATGCTTTTCACTCTTTCATCAATCGTGGACAGGGGTTTCATTAATGTTTTCAGCAGGATGGTAACTGGTTTTCACAGGCAGGCAAAACTTTTTTAACTGAACTTCTTTTTAAGATAAACTTTTCTCCAGATGGTCAAACCAGGTGGGCAAAACTGGCCCCACAACAGGTCAATTTGCCCGGTCCCTGGCCTTCAGTGAAACCCCTACATGGAGGAAACCTCTAGGAAAATGCACACACTGTTTTAGCAGTTTCAGGAAGTGGTGTGGAGGAGTTGTCAACTTTACTTTATTTTTTATTTAGCACTCAAGTTTCAGTTACAATTATACTAACATTAAAAAAAAAAAAAAACAGGAAAGGATACATATATAAAAAATTAAAGGTAACAGTGTTCCAGAGTTCGTGCATGGAGGCTAAGAAAATCGCGAGGTTGTGATTGGAGGATGTCAGTTTGTTTCATTTCAGTTTAGATGGTTGCATGATAATGACTGAGGGTAACATGGAACAAAATTGAACTTCTAAGTTTTCAGTCTGTTATTAATCATTTCACTCCTAAGATCTCATTAGTACATCTAATCCTTATGTGCTATTGATCATTACATGTTAAAAAGCGCACTATAAATTAATAAATTATTATTATTATTATTATTACTGACTCATCAGTTACTTGCTTGCTGTTGTATTGATTTTGTATGGAGAATTCTGTCTTAGTCACTCATGGAAGTTTAAGGGTTACAGTCAAACTGAGTGAAGTGTACCCCTCAAGATTACATTAATGAATTGATCAATTGGATATTGAACCCGCCAGTCGTTTCAAGAATGCAATAATGAATTGATTATTTGATTATTGAACCCGCTAGCCGTTTCACGAATGCAATAATGTATTGATTATTTGAATATTGAACCTGATAGTCGTATCTGTTTTGAAAAGGCGCGGATCATTGTTTAAATTAGAGGTCCATTTCTGAAGTCCATTAAGATTGTTCTATTTGACGAGAAATCCTGAAAATGAACAAACTGCACTGTAAAAACACTGTGAAAACAGTCGATCGCAAATATTAATGAAATAAAAAAAGTCTTGCGATGGCTTTGCCCATAAACTATTTTTCTCAACCATGAATACACGCAAGAATTTCTACAAGTTCGTCAAGATGTAAATAGGCGAAAAAAGCTCTTGATAACATTCCATTTACAACATTTACAAGAAGTTCTTCACAACACTTGTACTCACCTTTCCCGCCATGTCTGACGCCATGTTGAAATAGTTCCGATCCATCATTACGTGTTCACATAATCCAATCAGAAATGGACTTCTGATTTGAACAATGATCTGCGCCTTTTCAAAATGAATACGGCTATTGGGTTCAATATTCATATAATCAATCCATTATTGCATTCTTGAAACGGTTAGCGGGTTCCATGTTCAAATATTCAATTCACTATTATGCTCCTGAAATGATTAGTGGGTTCAATATTCAAATAATTAAATCATTAAATGTAATCCTGAGGGGTACGCTTCACTTAGTTTGACTGTAAAAGCCACATTGATGAAACAATTGTGGGGCATTATTTACTTCACCCCTTAACTTCCAGAAGTGATTAACATGTAACTTCTCTGTATAATATTTATACAATATCCAGCGAACAGGTCATGAGAATATTCAAACTGATCAGACAAAAGTTGTCATCTTGATCTAACATCAAATTCTAATAACTAATTCGCAACGAAATTTGTAGCAGCTAGAGGGGAGAATAAAAAGTCAGTTCTTTTATTTGAAGGATTTAAATGCTGAAATTTATACAACTTCTCACAGGATCAGCTTTCATGTATTAATGAGCCAGAAAAATCAAGGAATTCTTAATTATGAGGCTTAGATGACACAAACAGGCAAACATACTTGTTTTTTTCCTTTTGTTTGTTTTCTCTCGGCCTCACAAGAGTTAAGAAGAAAGTATGGGTACAGAGTAAATTAATGTGATAGAACTGGTGCAGTTTGATGGGGCATAAAAAAAGTGTTACATGACTGTATAACTGTACCGTTAAGATATGAACAGGTTGGGCTCAAGTTAACAGATATGAGGCATGTTTGAGGCATAGTTACATGTGCATAAGCCTCTATGTTGGCTACTTAAATCAGTTATCATTGGTTCAAAACAAGGATAACGTAAGAAAAATGTTTTGTTGTTATTGAACTCAAAATGGCTTCTACTTTACTGTAGCCTGACCCAGGTGTGAATGGCATTGATTACCATGTTGATGACGCTGAGAGGCAAAAGTCACAGCCCATGGACACAGTCTTTGTGCGGCAAGTTGCACCCAGTGGCCCTGCTGACAGGGCTGGACTTTCCACAGGTAAAGAACAACAACTACTACAAATAGTGGTAGACATGGCAGGTGAATGATCAACACTATGGACTCAGGATTAAAAGCTCCAGGTTTAGATCCTGGGTGGAGGCATTGAATGAGGCTCTGAACTCTCAAAGTGCTTCTCTCCACCCAAGAATATGATTGTGCTTCACTTTATGTTGAACTGAGGGAAGGACAACCTGGAGTAAACTAGTTTCCCCTCCAGGAAGAGTAGCAATATTTTTTCTCCTCTGGAAACTTGGAGAAGGTCTGGGGCATTGGCTGCTTGGCTCTTGTTTATCACATTAAACCAGTTTAAGGTGGCTTGTGCTTGGATGGAGTAACTGTGTGTACAGAGAATTGTACTTCATGTCCCCTCTATGGAATGCTGGTACAGTTTGTGGGTATCATGAGTAGTTTGACTCTAATGGGAGTGGGAGCTTGTTCTTTTGCTCTTAACAATTAGCCAAACCTCTATCCTAACCTGTAGGTCTAGACATCCATCACAGTTATATTTTAATGAATGTGAGAACTCTATTAACACAACTATATTCATAGGAAAGATAAGTTTTCATATGAGACCGACTTGTTTGCATATAGGTTCCAAAGTTGATCATGGCTTCAGTAGCATGGAGCAAGTTAAAGGATTATTTCTCCTCCTTCATGATATGTTTGTTTGTCTCAAATTACCCCTAAGTTTCATGGCGGGTTGCTGCTACCCATTTGTACTCCTGCATGGTCAAAATCACTTCTGGGAGTTGTGTCTTGAAACAATGACCTACCTGCTTGGGGCTTGAACCTGCACATTTTAGCCAACCATGTTGGGATTGGAGAAAAATATATTCATAACCTGTAGTACAAGCCCAACCTCTGCCTTTATTACAAGCAATCCATTTGCACACTTCTTGCCTTTTTCCAGGTGATCAAATTGTTTCTGTTAATGGCCATCCAGTATTGGGAAAGTCGTATTCACAAGTGATTGAGCTCATACTTTCAAGGTTAGTAATAAGGTCTTTGAAATGTTTGTTGTATTAAAGGGGCTTCCCTCACCTTGTCATCTTCTCATAAGAAGTTCTGTCAAGGTTTTATGAGTCATTTTCAGCCCTGCATTGATCACTCTTCAGAATGAAAGGGCTGTGAAGGGTACATGCAGTAATGCTGGTATGGGGAGTATTTTGTAAATTAAACCATTTGCCATGTAGTAAAAATGAAGACTAAGTTTTTTTTTTACAAGAGTGCACCGCATAATTATTTTTCTCTCCAGCCAAGAACTCTTGGAACTAGGCATCATACCAAAAGAAGATTGTGTTCTTCAAATGGTAAGCATAAGCTGTGTTTTTTTTGTTTAATTTACAGTAAACATGTTATCTGTTTCTAGACTCCCTTGTGCAAGATGTCTTACATACTTTAGATTACTTTAAAATCACTCTTCCATGCGTTTGGAAATAAACAGCTCAGTATTTGGCTTTGGTTCTCTTATTTTGGGATGTTACACAATCTCTTTGATGATAAACCTGAGTTCTGAATATAATGAAGAATCTGTGATCACAGTCTTTAAAGCAACTTTCAATTGAGTGTAAAAAGTGATCAGGGATTGCTTTGGTTTTACTCTTTTTCAATTTATGATTGGTTTAGAAAACTTATTAAGCTGCTTTCACAACCGAATAGATTCCAAACCAAAATCACTTACATCTTGATTACTCACATTTTCCAGTGCTTCTGGTCATTTTCTTGTTTTCACTTTGAGTTCTCATTGGGCTTCTGGTATTATTTTCCTTTTTTCTGATTGACTGTTGTGATTTCTTTGGTTGTGGTTTTACAACACTCAATCACAAAGTGTTCCAATTTCTTAATGTATGTGTAATTGTTGTGTTATTCCAAAAGTTCTAGACAAACAGTTAAGTGCTGTTTGTCTCAGAGAAAAATGACTCAAATTATTGCTCCTTGAATGTCCAATTTCTCTTTTTTAATACAGGTGACTCCCACACTGTCCTCTATTCCACCAAGCATATCTGTTGGCTCCCATGAATTCACCAGTCAGTCACCACCTCCTGTCAAGCCCAAACCAGCATACAGGAGACTTTCGAGCCATGACAGCCCAACAAGAGTCATGTCCACCATGACCATAAACCCAGCCAACTCATTTTATTTGAAATTGTCAGACAAAGATTCTCAGAGCTCTGCTGTCCACGATAGAGGTAGTCCTTCTCCAAGTGTCACCCTTAGGCGTGGTTCTGTAGACAGGACTGCAATGGAGAACAGGAGTTTTGTTATCACCTCGGAGAGTGCTCCTTACAACAATAATTTGAAGTCTAGAAGTTCAAGTGCATTGGAAAGTAGCTCTGTGAAATCCCCACATATGGATGGCTCTTATTTTATGGCTGCTACTGATTCCACTGGAAGGCCACTTGCTCTTCGTTTTGACAAAGGCTCCAAAATGGGAAACACTTTGACAGTCCTGGAAGATTCCTGGACTAAAAGTCGGTCCCATTCTCTTCCAGAGGGAGAAATGCAAAATCTTGAAGATCAAAACAGGAGTCCTGGTGGGATATCTGAGCTAAAAAAAGTCAATTCTGTAAATGATAAGTATGCATCAAATAGCAAAGAGCGTGGTTCACTTAACATACCTCCATTCATGCTGTCAGCACCTAGAACTGTGGCTTCAGACAGCACTTCAACAACCTACATGAATACAAGCCTTGACATGGGCTCTCGTCAGCCAGTGGCAACAGATCCAGGTTACAGAAAGAGTCACCCTTCCCATGAGGAGACCACGTCATATTTAATCAGAACTATTGCCTCTCACATGAACAAGAATAGTCCAGGGGGGTTAAAATCATCCACAGTGGGGGCCACACTTCTTGAAAGTAAAGAAGGGCTGCCTCATAGACAGAGTGGTGATAGTGGGAGGTGGTCATCACAAACAAACACGGAAATGCAAAGAGACTCCCAATCTCCTCATCCAGCCAAAGTGCCACGGCAGAGTGAGGACCATGTGAAACAAGCTGGGTATTCAAGTCAGCTATCTGTCTATCGAAACAACCCCCCTCTTGATGAAATGACTGTCATGCGAACAGTTGGACATGCTGTATCTGAACCAGATCCATCTGCAGCAAACAAACAAGGCAGTCCAAAGCCCAGGCGAGTGTCCTATCTAATGGCAACATCCAAAGGTGCTTCCTCTTCTTCTCCATCAGACCAGAAAATTTGGTCCACTGCTCCCCAAAGCAAAGGAAAGTCACCCTTGGTTGAAGCATTTTCTAATATGTTACCACCAGTTATGGTGCATGTTTCATCTGGAATGGAGCTCTGTGAGGATGTCAATGGGGATGAAGGGATGGACATTCCAGCCAGTGAACAAGAGGATGAGGTACAGTGCAATTCAGATGTAAGTTGATAGTTCTTTCTTGCCTTATCCTGAACCTTTGATACTCGACCAAACTTTGAGTATCAAGCTAGAGTTAAGTTTAAACTTGTACAAGGCTGTTGGTGAAATATGGTGAGGGCTTTCATTCATTTTTTTGGGCAGAGTTTCACACATCCACACATTCATGCTTTTATTCAGTTTCCAGATTATTAACATTAATATTAAGGGCCCACAATTAGCATAGCTGGTCTAAAGAGGGTTGGTAATAAAGACAGACTGAGATTACTAAATAAACTCTCCAAGCTAGCTTCCTAAACTAAATTGTGTCCAGTGTTGACAAAAATACTAACAAACAAACAGATAAATTTTATTATCAAGGAATAAGTTGAAAAGGAGATAATGAAGTAAAAGCTCAGTTACATCATGCCAACGTCTTTGATGATTAACTGTATTGACGTGCTTCTTCCAGTTATTACTAAAGTCATTAATCTGTCCCTGGAGTCTGGTTCGTTTGCGTTAAACTGGAAATGTGCACTGGTTAATCCGTTATTAAAGAAGACCGGTCTTGATCTGGTATTTAAGAACTATAGGCCAGTCAGTAATCTTCAGTATGTGTCAAAACTTACTGAAAGAGCTGTCTTCAATCAGTTGCATGAACATATGATGGCAAATAGCATTTATCCCTTATTCCAGTCTGCATATAGAAAATACCACAGTACTGAGACTGCATTACTGAGAGTAATGAATGATATTCTTTTAAAGATGAACTCCCAACATGTAACGTTATTGGTTCTATTGGATCTTAGCGCAGCATTTGACACAGTGTCCCTTTCTTATTTTTAACATGCACTGTTATTATTAATGTACATGTAATTAGTTTTATAAATTTGAATTTACTGTAGTATTTTAAGTTGTTAAGCGCTGTTGATCATTGAATGAAAGTAGCACTCTAGAAGTTATTAAATTAAATTATTCTATGCAATGATTTATTTTTGTCACTCGTGTAAGTGTATCAGTCTTTAATAAGTAATTCTCTTTGTTTGCTACTATGCCAAGACTTTTGTTATAACAAATAATGAATTTAGAGCGTATCGTACCTGGTCTTTGCAGCACTTTGTCAGTTCTCTTATATAACTAAAGAACAGGTGCAATTCACTTTCCTTTTAGTCGTTGTGTTTACATTTTGCATGTGTCACCTTCCACTGTGTATTGCACAGGTATTTTCAGGCACTGGTGATGAAAAGTCTTCAAATGAAGGTACAGCCCAAAGAACAAATAGACGTATCTCTTACGTCATGGCAACGTCATCTCCAACATCAAAACATGAAGCATCACTAGAAGCTACAAAGGAAGAAGAGGTAAAAACCTTTTAATGATTTACAATTTGCTCTGCAAAAGTTACAAAGTGGAACTTATTCAAAGGAGGCTCTTCTTATAAAGTTAGTCTTCAAAGAAGGGGTTTATTGGATGGAAAGTGCTTAATTGGGGGAGGGGGGGCTTATTAAGAAACTATGGACTGTACTGATTCTGCTGTAGTTAAAGCTACGCATAAAGTGACAATAGAAACAGGTTTTCCTTGTATCCCTACTATTTAAGAAGGCAAGGAATGAGGGAGGGGGTTTATTTTGCCTGTTTGATACCTTGGCTCAAGGGAAAGTTGCTTTATAGAGTACAATGCTCAAAATTAAGAAAAAATCCAGGTTGTCCCTATTTCAAAAGCCGGGCAACCAAAGCTGTGAATTTGATTGCCCTGATGAATCCTTGGTTGCCCGGTAGAAAATCACGTGGAGGTCAAGCTTGAATTAAACCCATAGTTCTTAGTGTGCGGCAATGGTTTTCGCAGAAGTCTGGGTTTAAGTTGTGGTATTTTCAAAATGGCGTCTTTGATCTTGATTGCCTCCAGACAAGAAACTCTGTGTTTGTCTCTTACATTTTTGTACTTGGCAATGTTTTATAAAATTTACAGATATCCAAAACAGAGGAAAACGCTTAGCTAAGGCAAATTATTATTAACTTCACACTACTGGACATTGACAAAACAAAAAAGTCACTTAGGTCAGGTGTTCTTTATGGTTAATTTCTATTCTATTTTTGGCTGGGTTGTCCCTTGTTTTTTTTCCTGGACAACCAGCCTCTTAATTTTACTAAAAATTGGTTGCCTGGTAAACTTTTTGGTCGTCTCGGACAACCGGAGGACCGCTAATTTTGAGCTCTGAGAGTATGGGGATTATTGGAGGAGATTCAGAATGTTGAGGTTCAATTTGATCCCTGGTTGAAGAATATTTAAAGCCATGGTGTTTGGGAGTGGTAAGCTATCAGAGTGGGTGAGAAGAAGTTGACCAAGTGTAAAACTAAACCAAAAAACATGCATCAGTGATAAAAAGTTGTAGGCCCTGTATGTTTCGGAAAAGTTGTGCAATAATTGCAACCAACTTCTTCTGAAGACTTTTTCATCTGAAATGATATGCATTCAGGGTATGTGTTTCCATTCATTAACAGATTTAAGTGTTATTAGTTCATCCCAGACATGGTAACTGAGCGCAAAAAGTTTAAATTAAATGTATACTATTAACAAGTCATTAAATGATCACTTTGGAGAAGAAACTGGAGTGCCCCTGAGCTAGTTTTTGGACCAGCTGTTACCTTGAGCTCTTGAGCCCTTCAAACCCATTCTTCTTATCTTGACGAGTGCAGGGCTGATAAGATCATTACAGTAACTACTTATATCTTATTAACCAAGCGCGAGGGCCGTACTGGGAGAATATCGGTCCGAGTTCTTGACAGTACGGACCGAGCACAGCAAGGTCCGTACAAAAAAAGAATGAGGGCTGATATTCTTCCAGTACGGTTCCGAGCGAGCTTGGTTAATAAGAGATTTATTATACGACTGAAGTTCAAAGGGACACAAGTGTGGTATCATTCGGGACCATTCGGGACAGTGCACAGTCCAATACTGAGAGAATATTGACCAGCAATAGAACATTTTGATTGGTTGATTTTAGTTATTGGCCCTCTGACTTCCTGAGTCGTATAATACAATTGTTAATTAATTGACCCATTTACTTCAACCAGGAAACCAAAGAGAGAAATGATCAAGTTCCAGGAATATTGGAGGTAAGCCACTGCAGTAAAGTTAAGAACAGGTACTCAGAGAAAAGACCTCTGGTCCATTTGAAATGTCAATTTATCTTTTCTGTGGTTTAATACTCTGATTTGATATAATCAGTGCATATATTTTGATGCTAGAAGACTTCCTCAGTCTTAAATTAAATTAATTGAAAGGTTCCTGATATGTACATCCAGGGAATGATTTAGTAGCACTGTTATAATTTCTTTAAATCTAGAGGTTTCACATATGTTTTTTGTACTTGTAGGTGTACAAGGAAGGCCTTCTCTCTAGAAAACTAGCAGTGGTGGATGGAGGCAAGGTAGAAGGGCAAGAAACATTTCAAAAGAGCTTTTTTTTATATATCTTTTTTTTTTTGTGAGGAGTATGATTTAAATTGTTAAGATTTTTGTAGATGCAGTGATGCTCACAATCAAGTTGTGAAAACAAAAGTGTCTCTGTTTGGCGGCTGATATAGCAAAGAACAAATCCTACTGCCCTCCCCAAGAAAAGCTATCATATTTCTGTAAATTATTATGAAGATATCAAATATGCCATTTCAAGATGCAATATTAAGAACCAATTTAAGTTGAGATAAATTGGTTCACAAATGTTTACTTTCCAGTTCTCTCTGAAAACCCTAATTTAAACCAACAAGTTCATCACGTCAACATGACGCCTAGTCGCTTTAGGCTTTATATTCTTTCCAACACTTTACTCACTGAAATATGTAATTTTTGTCACTTAATCATAATTAATTATGCATGTCTTGCCTAGTTGTTAAATAGCCCTAACGGTTTTTCAAATAGTCTGTAACTGATGATGATGTTCGTAACATGGAAACATGCCTTCTAAATTAAAAAATGTACTCTTCTTGAAGATAACGATTTGCTTTCTGCTCTCTCGACCTTTTAGTTCTCTCTCTCTTTTTAAATCATTTTTTTGTTTTAAATATAGGGTCACATCTGTAATTAGGGGTTAAGATTGTCTTGAGGAATATTTGGTTTGCTTAAGTGGTTCTTAAATTATCAGTTTTGGATTTTGCATTTTTACTATGACAGCAATGCTGCAATTAGGTGCATACGAATGAAGAAGTAAGGATGTTGGTTAGATTTTGAACTATCATAAGTAAATGTGGTACATTTTTTTTGTTTGGTTTAAGCGTTCAAGTGCACGGTCTTGGAAACCTGTGTATGCTGTTCTTAGAGGCCATGTTCTCTATTTGCATAAAGACAAAAACTCTGCTCATCAGGTGGGTGATGTACTGTAATAACAAATCGCTGGAAACCAATAGATAAGGTCTCCCTGCTTCCTCTAAGACTTGTTTGTGGTGATCTAGTTGAATCTGGTGTATTCAAATCACTGGAAACCAATAGATAAGGTCTGCCTGCTTCCTCTAAGACTTGTTTGTGGTGATCTAGTTGAATCTGGTGTATTCAAATCACTGGAAACCAATAGATAAGGTCTGCCTGCTTCCTCTAAGACTTGTTTGTGGTGATCTAGTTGAATCTGGTGTATTCAAATCACTGGAAACCAATAGATAAGGTCTGCCTGCTTCCTCTAAGACTTGTTTGTGGTGATCTAGTTGAATCTGGTGTATTCAAATCACTGGAAACCAATAGATAAGGTCTGCCTGCTTCCTCTAAGACTTGTTTGTGGTGATCTAGTTGAATCTGGTGTATTCAAATCACTGGAAACCAATAGATAAGGTCTGCCTGCTTCCTCTAAGACTTGTTTGTGGTGATCTAGTTGAATCTGGTGTATTCAAATCACTGGAAACCAATAGATAAGGTCT